AGCAAAAAAATGTTGCAAGCAAAAATAAAGTATTTTACAGTAATTAATTTATTCTGAGCATGCGCAGACGTTCTGTCAATGTTGCCGGGAGAGGTAATTTTTGATGAAAATCGTGAAAAAGACCCACTTGAGATTTTCAGATCTGGAAAAAAAATTTACGTACATACTCGGCAGAGACTTGTTCATCAACCTGCCAAGTTTCACTGCTGTAGAATTTCTGAGAAAATGTTGGAGACGGAAAATGGATAGCGGAAAACGGAAAACAGACATTTGACAAAACCTGAATTATAAAGTGCCCTTTTCAGGGACTAATAAATTAAATTGTACACACACAGAAGTGTAAGATGGACTATATTTGGTACTTACAATTTTAATTCGTTTTGTAGGTGTAATATTTGGAGTGATTGGTCTGCACATGTACTTTCCAAATCACCGATGGATTGTTGTTGAACTTCTCGTTTCTTGTGTGAGCTTTGTAGACTGCCAAGTGCCTACAGACAATATGACAAAATGTCAGTTCAGTGTGTTTCAGTAGCAGTTATTAGCATCAGGTTTTCTGCTGGGGGGTGGGGGTGGGGTTAAATAACTAGGTACAGTAGGTAATACTACATTGTTTGCCATAGCCAATTAAAATAAGATTACATTATGTAAATGTTAATTAATAAGCAATACGTTTTCTGATGTTTAATTTACCCCTTTCTATAGTTGATATATTTTTAAGTGACTATTTTCTTAAGGTAGAAACCTACTCACAATTTTTGACAAAATTGATCATAAATTGCATGACAATGTTCATTAGTTTATTATGTACAATCATGAAACTAATGTTCCATGGTATAATGAAATAGCATTATTTTGTGTGTTACAGTTATGCTTTTTGAGAAACGTGTCCTAATATTTCTTGAAAAACGCTATTTTTTAGAACAATTCCATAGAACACAATATTAAAGAAAAATTGACACTTTTTAAAACCCAGATTTTTTAAATAATTCAGAATAACAAAAAGTACTCCATCATTAACAATATATGATTATTTCAGCCTATGTCACCAGGCTAGATTTTGAGATATTGCATAATATCTCTGCCATAGGAACATGTGGTAAAGGTGTTATAATAGTGTCAGAATGGCGACTTTCCACTAAAATACAACCATCAATTTCTTGAAAAAAAGGCTGGTGATCCCCAACTTTTTTTAGGTCAATATCCTTATATTACCTTGGAGTACATTTGATTGCAAAATGAATAAATTCTGGGTTTTTAAATTTATGAGTAGGCTTCTACCTTAATAAAACTTGAAATTTGTTTCAGCCATTGGTAGTGAAAGCAGCACATTTTCTGTAGCTAAATCTAAATATAATTTGCCTTGCTGCATACATTGCTTATAAAATCCACTGTAAACACAATTTATGAATAAATTTATTGTATATACACCTTCAGGATGGGAAAAAAGCAAAATATCTGTGAATTGGCCAGATTGTGGCAATTTTATTGGTTTACTAAATAATTAGTCCCTGTTCGGATGCAGTTCGAAAACGGGACTTATGTTTTGACCTCCGTGCGTGTGTGCGTCCGGACCTGTATCTTAGAAATGCCTGGACCAATCACAATCAAACTTCATACATACATCATACATGATATTATACATATGCACGTCAATTTGTTTCACGATCTTATTCAAGATGGCTGAATGGTGGCCATTTTTGTGCTAAAAAATCCTAAAAATCAACCATTTCTCGGCTGTTTACAGATGGATTTTGTTCAAACTTGGTATATACATTAGACATTATGGGACCTTGATGCAAATAATTTTGTTTTTCAGATAGAATTCAAAATGGCCGACTGGCAGCCATTTTGTATTAATGAATGTGGTTCTCGCGCCATATCTATGACTTGCTGGACAACTTATGGACAAGTACTTGTTTGACGATCAGATACAAATGTCAATCATATTCCTGACATGGTTATATTCCAGCTATATTACTATGAACAAAACTATATATCTTAAATTTGATAACAGGGACTGTGCCATGCATGGCTTGTTTATTTTTAACACGTCTGGCTCACCGACATCAAAACTAACATGTTGTTATGCAAGTGTTTATGCTAATGGGTGGCATCACTGACTATTATAGATCAGAGTGCTGTCACATCATTTGTTTACAATTTTGCCAATCTGCAAGCGGACATCTGGAACTAAGATTAACACAAAATCACTGTCTGTTTTGATGATGCCCAAAAGGTATTTTATTTTATTAACTGGTTCCCGGCATATTTGAAGCAGGTTATACGAGGAAGCGTTAATGAAAACACAAAAACATGTGGATAGACACTTGTTTATAAACAATGCCATGCTATGGCCATCCAGGTATGTACGACCTAGAAAAAGTGCCATATGCGAGTACCAAGTTGCGAGTCGCAAATAGCAAAATATGCCATATGCTAATGGTAAAATGTATCATTTGATAGTAGCAAAAAAGCCCAATTCGAGGGGTAATACAAAGGCCAGGAAAACTGGTGTATGCGAGGGGTGGAGTCATTTGTCAGTTTGCTCAACGGCTGGATTCATTTGCTGATAATATAATAACATACTTTCAAATGTGTTTATCACATTAAAATCAAATATTTACCATGGTTATGAAATGATGCTGTTGAGGCTTTTACTTTAGGGATGATTCAAATATAATAATAATGGTAGCAAATAGGTGTCAATGCGATCTAGGCCAGGTGTCAACTGGCGCACGCCGCCCGGTACTCAACATTACAGTCGACCAGTGTACGCGGATTACATTG